TTTCTTCTGATTTCACTTTTCCCTGTAAATCGACGTCGAGATTCTCTTCTTTAATTTTTCAAGTCTAAAACAAGAAGTGGACGAGTCTATGATGCCTGAAAGAGGAGCAATACGAGGATTTGTCCAATTAGTCACCAACTTCCAAAAAAACGTTTTTTTTTGTGTGTAAAGTTAGTTGGAACGTGCACGTTGGAATGTCTGCTGCCTTTGATGTGCGCGAATCCTAGAAATGATTTAGTATTTATAATCGTTCTAGAGAAAAACGCATTTTACGTATATGCAGATTTTACTCAAGGTTATCGTTTTTGATAAAACTTTGTATAAACAATTCGCAAAATTTTATTTATTTTTTTTAACAACTACATTTATTTACGTCCCAACATTTTTAAATAAATTAAGAAGAATATTTTTTCAAAATGAAATGATTTAATTGTTAAGTTGTATCAAAGTATTAAATTTTTTGACAGCTGTCACCTTATGTCAAAGCGTGAATCTGATGAAGCAATTGGATCACTTCAATTAATCGTGATTTTGTATCAATAACAAAACGATTGGTCCAAGTACAAATCCTTGAGGAACACCGCGCGTGATCGATTTAAAACGAACGGATATTAGTGTTTACTTTTAACTATTCAATTTACAATTTTTTTTGTTCATAGAGTTTCCTGAACTTTAGCAATAATTATTATGTTAGTTTATTACATATAATTAGTGTTAACTTCCGCTGGAAAACGTGTATTTAATAATCACTGTCGATTCAATATGCTTTTATTGTTTGGACGAGAGGCGCACGACGGCGTTTCGAATCCATAATTTCGTGTTTTATTATCGACGGGGAAATCCCGATGTTTGGCAATAAATCGCACTTTATTACCGACGAAACTGAGTTATTCCCAATTAGTTTACTGCAGCTCAAATTCATCCTTAACCTGCATAATATGACGTACAAATCTCAATTACAACCAAATTATATTCATTGAAATTGTAAATTTTGTTAGTTTAACTTTTAAGTTCTTTTTATTGCACCAATAATAAAAATACAACAATTTTTCGAAATGGAAAATGTATTAGTAAATATGTAACAATACTTCAAATAGTGCGGAATAGCTTACTCCAATTTGAAACCGGACTAATCGAGGAATTACATACATATTTAGTTTTTTCTGGAAATTGTCAAAACGGACTATAGAGAATCTGCATATAGTTATCGCTATACTCTGCAATGTTTCAATTGAATAAACATTGCATAGTTAAACTTGGTGTTTTCTAATTGTCAAAAGTCTTAGGAAATATGCAACAATACTTCGAATAGTGCGGGTAATAGCCTACTCCAATTTGAAACAGGACTAATCGAGGAATTACATACATATTTAGTTTTTTTCTGGAAATTTTCAAACCCAACTATAGAGAATCCGCACTATATGAATTATCATAAATGGCTTAGTAAATATGCAACAATATTTCGAATAGTGCGGGTAATAGCTTACTCCAGTTTGAAATCGGACTAATCGAGGAATTAAATAGATATTTAGTTTTTCTTTTTCCGAAATTTTCAAACCGGACTATAGAGGATCCGCACTATGTGAATTATCACAAATGGCTTAGTAAATATGCAACAATACTTTGAATAGTGTGGGTGGGTAATAGCTTACTCCAATTTGAAACTGGATTAATCGAGGAATTAAATAGATATTTAGTTTAGTTTCTGAAATTTTCAAACCAGACTTCAGAGAAACCGCACTATGTGAGTTATCGTTATACTCTACAATATTTCAATGGTTGTGTGTTTTCGAAATGACAAATCGCTTAGTAAATATGCAACAAAACTTCAAATAGTGCGTGTAATAGATTCCTCTAAATTGAAACCGGACTGATCAAAGAATTAAGTACATATTTAGTTTTATTTTTTCCGAAATTTTCAAACCGGACTATAGAGAATCCGCACTATGTGAATTATCATAAATGCCTTAGTAAATATGCAACAATATTTCGAATAGTGCGGTTATAGATTCCTCCAAATTGAAACCGGACTAATCAAGGAATGAAGTATATATTTAGTTTTTCTTTTTCCGAAATTTTCAAACCGGACAATAAAGAATCCGCACTATGGGAATTATCGCAAATGTCTTAGTAAATATGCAACAATATTTCGAATAGAGCGGGTTATGCGGTCAATTTGGAGGAATCCAGATTGAAACCGGACTAATCGAGAAATTAAATAAAAAATTATTTTTTTTTCTAAAATTTTCAAACCGGACTAAAGAGAATCCGCACTATGTGAATTATCATAAATGGCTTAGTATATATGCAACAAAAGCTTCAAATAGTGCCTGTTATAGCTTACTCCAATTTGAAACCGGACTAATCGAGGAATTAAATAGATATTTAGTTTGTTTTTCCTGAAATTTTCAAACCGGACTAAAGAGAATCCGTACTATGTGAGTTATTGCTTTATAGTAGTAATTAATTGTATAAATATTGCATAGTTAAACTTTGTGTTTTTCGAAATGACAAATGGCTTAGGAAATATGCGTAAATCACGATTTACCGAGGGGAACGTTTTCTTTTATTTTTATACAACTTCACACCTTGGGCTTAAAACTAATCCGTCTGAGATTATATCTGTAAAGCTCCTCAGTTTTATTTTCTTTCATTCCTTAAACTTCTTATATTTTCCTTTCACCGAAAACAGTTCGGATCGGCAACAACAAACAATAGCTTCAAATTTTACGAAATTTTGTAAAAATTTGCAAAAAAAAGCGTTTTTTCACTAAGAATTTTGTCTAGTTTAGTGGTATTAAATTAGGTAGAATTCTTGTACATTTTGAAAAAAAAATTGAAAAGTTGTCAAATTTTAAATTTAAATTAACTTATTCAATAATTTTCAATACTTTAAATCAATCAATGAATATAATTAAAACTATGTGACAATAATTTATTAAAAAAAAATCAAAATTTACATAAATTATTTTAAAAAATCTATTTTTTTTTTGTTAATTTCACTCCAAAATTACGTTAAAATATGAAAATTTACCGTTTTCCAATAAATTTAATAATTATTATATAAATAAATTCGAAAGTTATGATTATATTCTGTCCTTTTTTTTCTCTCTATATAAATCTTTTTTGAAAATGAATATGCATACGATTTTTTACACACACACACACAAAAATTGACTAGGTTCGATGTAAAATTAACACAGAAAGTATGTATTTTAGAAGCTATGATTCATCTCGATGGTAATTCTATTTTTATTGAAACTACTTCAGCATGAATATTCAATCGATTCTCGAGATTCACTCAACAATTTATTGGAAACGTGCAATTAAATGAATAGATGTTACTTTTATAGAAGCAGCTTCTCAAGTTTAACTATTACTTAGAAATTAGTTAATAACCGATTTTAATAAAAAAAAAATAAACGAATTTTCTTTAATTTAACATGAAAAGATTTGAAATATTTGTGTTTTAGAAGCTATGATTCACTTAAATAAAATGTTATTTTTACTACAATCAATTTTTGTATAAATACACTTAGAAACTTGATCTTTTCTATGTAAAATTTGAAAAAAATTCTCTAAATTACTATTATTAACATCAAAGTGTGCTTTAGAAGCTGCAATTCGCCTGTTGTTAAAACTATTATCATTTAGATCAGCTCAGTATAAATTATCAATTAATTCAATAATTTGAATTGGATTTGGTGGAACTGAAGTTTATGTAATTACTTAATAATTTGATAATTAGTGACGATGATTATATTGTAATCGCTTTTCATTTAAGATTAATTACTTTTTTATCATTAATATTGATAATGAATGTGAATCAAATGTATACAGTTATTAATGATGTTAAGAAATACCATGTCTATTTTAGTATATTACATCTAAGTCTAATGCAATTATATCCAATTGATTCATTGAATGAATTCGAAATATTTTTTTCTCTCTTTCGAAATATTTATAACAAATGATGATTATTGGTAAAATTCATTTAGAAATACTACTTTTATTAATTATAAATACTTTATGGAAGATAATTTTTGAAAAAGTTTTCAAAATTTGATTATTCAGGAAAGAATATACATACTTGTTTAGGTTTAGAATATAGTCTAAACCAAATGATAACTTTATATGAATGATTACTGGTTTTCAGAAATTAACTCAATGAAATTTAATGAATGGAAAATTATGGATATTTTTTTATGAATACGTTGAACAAAAACTATACAATTCCTAATGCTTGAAATTCTTATTTAATTCAAACTGTTAATTATTGATATGTTGATACTTGTAAAACAATGTTTATTGATATGAAATTTACTGAATTATACGAAGAAATTTGTATTTTTAGTGAAATTTGAATTGTTGATGTTTGTAAAACTATTTTAAACAATGTTTATGTATATCAAATGTACTTATAGTTCTTATTGAATTTGTTAGTAAATAGAATTAAGAGGAGGATACAAAGAAAACTGTGACTGTGGTCGAGTGCCATAAAGTTGGAGTGAAAAATATGAGTTGTGAAAGAGACGAGAAATGGTTAAAAATTCCGGTCAGGCTTTTTGGTCGTCTGATGATAATTGAGGGGCTTTGAGGTAATTTGTCTGGAATGGTAGCAGATGGGCTTTGTTATCATTGTCATGGGGTGTTTACCGTTTTTTTTTCTCCTTCTTCTCTTCAGTATATGTCTCTGTGTGTATGCGTGTTGTGCGTGGAAGGGTCCCAACCAGGATGGATGGTCCCTTTAACGGTCCCAGAACGTGCGGTGGTGGTGCGTGTGGAAGAGAGAAGAAAGAAGTGCGCGAGAGCTAGAGTGTCGGTAATGGTGCGAGTACGAAGTCCGGGCCTGGCGCCAAGACGGCGCCAAACTTCCCCACCACCAGGGTCTAGACCAGTCCGTAGATTGGAGCTCTCCAGTCGTACGGCGAGCGTTCAGTCGCTGAGAATATCGCGTGTAGAGTGTATGGATGGGTGTTCAGTGCG